ACAATCTTGGATGAGTCACTTAAATTCTTGGAGATGTGCTTTGGGTATCTGCAACCTGGAATCCCACTTTGTCAGGTCTATCCCACCAATTTATTATAAGGGGCAGACGAGATAATGTATGTGCAATCAATATGGAAACTGTAAAGAAGTATTCAAATGGAAGGCATCCCTATTGATTTTGCCTAAATAACAGACATTAATAAATAAATCATTTTATATTTCAAATGTTTTTAAAATTATACAGTAGGGAGTAAGGCTTACTCTAGATTTTAATAAGGAAGCACTTCGAATCATAGCTTAAGGCAGGACTTAAATAAAAATTAGGCCTTTAGAAACATTTATGCGAATATGTAGTTTTAAATGATTTTCTGTGCATAATGGAAATTGACTACAAAATTAATGGGCAAGTTAATGCTAAATTGAGAAGTCTGAATTTATTAGCAGAAGTCTTTGCTTTAAGTTACTTTAGTTTTACAAATTTTATATGATTGTCAAATATTCAGAAGTACTGGGAGAAACATCCTTTTAAAAAATGTAATTGTTCTTTTAAGTTCTCCCTCCAGAAATCATAAAAAGATAAAAAAAGCTTTTCATATTCAAGACTACCTCCTATTACTGTCAATAGCAGTTAAAAGTATTTATGGAGACATGAGACAGCACAAAGATTCTTCTGTGATTCATCAGAAGTCTCATCTTAAGTATAATTACATTACACAGCTCTACTCAATCATTAGTTTCTTGTTCAGCAACGATGTCCTTCATTTTAAATTTTTGATGGTAATTATTTGTAACTATGCCCTTGAATTCTGAAAGCATGTGTCCTGCAGTCCTCGTGAACAATGGGTGTTTCTGGACTACAACACCTCTGGCTTCCCATGGGATATCATGCAGGAAATAGTCTGTAACAACGTGGAAAATTTGCAAAAGGTTCTCAGCTTGAGCTACAACCCAAAATGAAGTAGCGTAGTTATGCACATGTGTGTATGTGCAATAAAAAACTAAAAGCAAGTCTTTAGTTACAAGGCATGATTTTTAAAAATCCTTAGTGACCAAGTCACATTAAAATGTTTGACAGTTGCTTAAATTAAGGCATATTAACACATACAGAAGACTGACCTGAAACTGAGATTTATTTTAGTTCTTCTAGTGTTCTTTTTGCAAAATATCTTGTGTTTGTGTATTTATTCATTTATGGAACATGATTATGTGCCAAGAATTGTCTAGGTGCAGAGAACAGGCTATAAGATATTCTGAGCCCACCAAGAGCTCACAGGCCAGTGGCCAGGGGAAAAAAACAGATAAGTAAATCTAAAGAACTTGATTATCCTCAGGCCTGGAAGAAATAGCAGATCATATTAACAGTAAAACCTAAGCATTCTAGTTGTTAACTCACCGCTGATTTGGTACCTTCTTAAAGCTGGGAGTTTCCAGGGTTGCTTTACAATATTTTTACTGCTCCTCTTGAAATTTATACTCCCCAGTGCAACTGGCAACAACACAGATTATGCTCTGAATATAAAGACCAAATGCTGAGTCTTGATCTTCACAAGAGAGGGCGTCCCTTCTGGATGCCTCACGGGGACTCCAGCTCACTGTGGCCTCCGGTCCTGTCGTTTACTGTAGCTCTGCAACATGCCACTCCATTCTGTCATTCTTGTCTTTTCTTCCTCACCTCCCCCAGCTTTTGTTCTCTTTGGCTCTTTTGAAAGCCACATTTATGTTCTTCCCATATGGGAAGTATTTTTGGTCAAAATTTAAAACCTATAATGTGTTCCTTGGCAAAATGATTTGCTAAGCAAGGCTGGCTTTAACTTGAAAGAAAAGCTTTCAGTAGGCAACAAAACAAAAATCCCACAAACCACTCTGGTCACACTGCAATTCTTAATCATCAAAGCTAAATATACTTTACAGGCATGTATTAAATAAAACCTCCTTTCCCAGTGCAAGGAGGTGTGTAGTGGAGTGATTAAAATTTTTATTACTGAGCTACACGCGGTTTCTAATAGAATTCTATATAGACATTTCCATTTTTCCTAACACACTGGCTTTATCATAGGAAACTGAATGATTTCCTTAGGGATTAACCTCCAAGCTAGGAGGCACAGAAAGAGCCATGGAGAAACGATATTTGTAGATTGCCTATTGTCTGAAAGGCATTGTGCTAGGGTTTTTTTTTATAGTTTTTTTTTTTTTTTTTTTTTTTTTTCTGGAAACGGAGTCTTGCTTTGTCTCCAGGCTGGAGTGCAGTGGCATGATGTCCGCTCACTGCAACCTCCGACTCCCTGGTTCAAGCAATTCTCCTGCCTCAGCCTCCAGAGTAGCTGGGATAACAGGCATGTGCTACCACACCCAGCTAATTTTTGTATTTTTAGTAGAGATGGAGTTTCATCACGTTGGCCAGGATGGTATCCATCTTCTGACCTTGTAATCTGCCCGCCTTGGCCTCTCAAAGTGCTGGGATTACAGGCATGAGACACTGCCTCCAGACGTTCTTTCACTGAATCCTTACCACCAACGCTAGGAGGTAGGTAGCAGGATGATCCCATGACAGAGGGGAAGACTGAGGCTTAGACAGGTTAGCTATCTTGCCCAAGGTCTTTCATCCCTTCTCCTTTCTATCAAGCTGCTTCTCACTGTTGAGATGCCAAAGGTGTCCTAGTATTGCCATTTTTTTTTTTTGCCTCATTTGTGTGTGTTTTCTTTTTCCTATGAAGCAGTGAAAACCCAGGTCAGGTTTGTTTGGATATGAGTTTGCTTAAAAGAATGGCCAACACCAGTGGCTTGGCAACCCATAACATGAGCACTGCAACTAAAGAGCAGGTGGTGGGCAGGATTCCTCTCCAGCTGTTACAGAAGGGTGATACCTACAGTTTTGCACCCAGGCAGATCTGGATTGGAATACTATCTCTGCTACCATCTGGTGATTCCAGGCAAGCTGTTTATCTTTTCTGACACGCAACTTTCTCAACTATATTTTTTCTGAAACTCAACTTTCTCCACTCTAAGGTAGGGGTAATGCTACCTACCTCACAGTGCTGTAGGTAAGGACTGGAGAGAACATACAACAAGGACTTGACAGGTAGTTGGTAATTATTCATGGTTTTATGCCTGTCTTTTGTATTCACAGACAACTACTGCATTCACCAGGGCTTTGTGTGAGCAGGTCCAGGCCTGCCTGTTTCTCAGTCAGTGATAATCAGCTTTTGCAGCTGAAGCCTGTTTGACCGCAGACCTGACATCTTGCTTAGATCCTGTAATACCAAACTCTTTTTCTGTAGTGATCCCCAATCCTCCTCCATCCCTAGGGCAACCTCTGCCTGGGGTCTATCTAAGGAAGCACTGGGCTTCCTTCTGCTGCTAGGCCTGCTAGATCAGACACCCATACCCACCTTCACTCTGGGCCATGCCTAAGGTCCCTATATCCTTTGGATACTGTAGAATGCTATTGCAGAGCTGGCCTTCATGACTGGATGTGCTCACCCTTTTCTGTGATTACTACTGTTATTATTCTGAGCATCTTCTAGGAGCAGAGCCCTGTAATAACACAGGCATGGTCCATGCAATTGAGCTGAGTGCCTTATATGTATTATCTCCTTTTGTCCTCATTATAAACCTGTAAAGTAGGTGCTATTAAAATATTCATATTCAATACATATTCATTTCAAAATGAGGAAACTGAGACTTAGGAAGATTAAGGACCTTTCTCCAAGTCACATATCTAGGAAAACAGGGGTAAAACCAGGCCTAGGATCCCAGGGCCAGGGCTGATAGCTGCGATACCATATTGTTTTTTTATCTCACCTGTCATTCTTCTTCTTCCTCCGTTTCTGACTAATATGCTCCACGCAGCAGGTACTTTTTCTTTAAATTGTAGCATCTCTCACAATGTACTGTCATCAATTTATTTGTCTATGTCTCTCATTAAACAGCTTTCTGAAGGCAATAGTCATGTCTTATTCATTCCTGTTCACCAGTGCTTACCACAACATCTGGCACAAAATAATCCAGAGAATGTTTGTTTACTGAATTATACTGGCTTTTTCTTTTCTACCTGCTGTCTTTTGCTGAAGTCTTAGCATGTCCTCTACCCACACATATTGGAGCTATGAAACTCTCAAATCAACGTTAGCAGTTACTATGGGGTCTGGAATTATGTATGAGTGTTTACATATGTATGTATGTGTATGTCTGTGTGTGTTTGTGTGTTTGCTGTGGTATCAACTAAAACAGCTATAGTTTTCCAAGTGCTTGTCTACATCAAAAGCTTTTAGTCATCATGTTTCCTCAGTTTCCTTTAATCTGGAAACTTTCCACAGCCTTTCTTTGTCATTATGACATAGACATTTTTGAAAAATACAGTCCATTAAAAAATAAAATGGTCCCCATGTTGGGTTTGTCTGATGTTTGCTTCTGATTAGATTCAGGCTCTGCATTCCCAGCTAAGTAATGCTGTTTTTTCCTCAGGCTATCATATTTGGAGGTACACGATGTCCATTTGCCCATCTGAAGTTGATTTGGATCACCTAATCAAGATGTTGTCCTGTTTCTTCCCTGTATACTTAACATTCTTTTTCCTCTTGTAACTAATAAACAAACTCTGAAGAGATATTTTAAGATGATGCATATATCCTATTACTCTTCAAAATCCCCCCCTGGATCCATTGAGGATTCCTGTCTATACCGGTCTTTAATACGATGATTGCAAAATGACAATTCTGCAAATAATTGTGGTATCTGACTAGATCCTGCAAAGGAGGGGAAAATGTCATAAAAGACGTCGAATATACATTAGATATCCTACCTAAAGCAATGTAAGTTTTTCATTTAATAGCTGACATTTAATTGAATAAAAGGCACAAGGCTCCCCTGGATTGAATGGCCCCCAAGGTCTAATCTCACATGAGATCCTATGACCCTATGTGAAACTTCTGTTACTATCATGGTACCTGTATGGAAACAGAAACTAAATAATAGTGGTAGTTTGAAACGGAAGACTCTAATTCTGGTTGTACATGTTTGTTTTCTTTATTAAAAGGCAATAGAGAAAAGATGAGGCAATACCTCAAGGGTCTTGAACAGAGATGAAATGACAGAGGTCTCTAATGCAATGGCACAGAACCTTCTGGTATCAGCACCTGCAAGCCCCATTCAGTCGTCATTCATGATCGCCAAATACTCCATCTGGTGTTCAACCAGCTTCAGGAATACTTGATATTTCTTATCATAGTATCTGTGGGAGAAACATAAATATGTTGAATGATCTCAAGACAAAACTGCCACATGGCTTCCCTGTAGATTTCGAAGAATGGGGATATATCTCCTAGATTCTGAATGCTTACAGCATCCTGGGCAATCAATTAGCATGCTTCAGACCTATTATGTGTAACCTGCTTGAAGTTTTATTATCTCCATTTTAGAAATAGCATTTAAATCCCATCTTTACTAAAAATACAAAAGTCAGCCAGGCATGGTGGGGGACGCCTGTAATCCCATCTACTCAGGAGGCTGAGGTAAAAGAATTGCTTGAACCCAGGAGGCCAAGGTTTCAGTGAGTAGAGAGGGGTCCACTTCACTTCAGCCTGGGTGAAAGAACAAGACTCTGTCTCAAAAAAAAAAAAAAAAAAAGAACATTTCTAAATGAGAGGCATATACAAAGTAATACAGTTAAAAACAGGCAGAACTGGAATTCAAACTCATGTCTGTCTGACTTCAAAGCTTCTACTGTACATATAAAAAGGCCTGGGCTTAATGGAGATCCTTTCACATTGCCAGTTTCAATAAATATTTCCTATATAACTAGTCCCAGATTTGATGACTGGCCTAAAATCACAGCCTGACAAAGGATGAGACTGAACATTTTCATTGCCCTTTTGCAGATTCCACATCTAGGTTTCCCCTGTGACTGCTTTACCCAGGGGTAAAACCACATGGGAATGTGGCTAATGCCTTCTCTAGAGCTGTGCTCAGCCTTCCAGGCATCGCACAGCGGCCCTTGCTCTCCCTGTCCTCTCTGGCTGACTCTTTGGGTAAGGCCTGTTAGAACTGATATTAGCCATGAATCAGATAGCAGAATAGCTGAAGCTGCCCTGACATCATAATCCTAAAAGGAATAATTGGAACCGAGACAAATTATACTTGTAGCCTTGCAACTTTGTTCTTACTCCTCTTGATTGGGAAACTGACATGGGTGAAGGGATGAAGAAGCCAGTTTAGTATGTCTTGGTCAATTCTGGGGTGCTCTGAAAAGGAGTCCTTATAATGGAACTTTGGTGCAAAGTTGTGTATTGTGGGAGAGAGGTTGTAAGATTAATCCTGGATACACATGGGGACTTCTACTTGCCATACATAGTTATGTTAATAGGAGTTCCCTCTCCAATGTTTATTACACCGTAAACATTCTGGTAATGTAGGAGTTGTGATGGGGCCAAGCACAGGTTAAGAGGTGAACACTGAAGCCTGGGTTGAAATCTCAATGTGGCCCAATATTAGCTGTGTGACTTTGGATATGTTCCTTAATCTATTTCTGCCTAAATTTCTCCACCTGTAAATGGGGATAATTATGGGATCTACTTCAGCAGAGCTGTGTGTGAACTAAATGTGGAAATATATGAAAAGCATTTGGAACAGTACCTGACTCAAAATAAGTAATATAAGTACTAGTTATTAATTTTTAGATAATTTTTAATATTATCATTAATATAGCTATATGTAGGTGCTACTAAAACCTACTCTATGAGCTCCCAAATTTATTCGTGGTAAAATTATTTTAGAAACAATTTCTCCTACTAATGATGTTCCATGACAACATAATGGTAAGCAAGTCTTTCATTACATGAGTTGGATTTCTTGACTTTAGAATCTCAAAATTGCTAGAAGGGAGCTAAGGTTAGCACCCCTTCATCTATACTTGAAGATTTACAATGTTAATACTGACAACTTTGCTGCAACTTTGTTCACTGGCCTTACTCTTTACGTAAGCGAAATCATACAGTATTTGTCTTTTTGTTGTTATCTTATTTCACTTAGAATAATATCCTCGAGGTTCGCTGATGTGTGGCATGTCAGAAATTGCTTCTGTGTAAGGCTGAATAATATTCCATTGTATGCACATATCATTCTTTGTTTATATGTTCATCTACTTAGGTTGCTCTCATGATTTTAGCTATTCTGAATAATGTCGCTGTGAACATGAATGTAGAAATATCTTTTCCATGCTCTACCTTCAGTTCTTTTGGGTATATACCCAGAAGTACAATTCCTGAATCACATGTTAATTCTATTTTTAATTTCTTGAAGAATGGCCATACTGTTTTCTGCAGCAGCTATACTATTTTGTATCCTCACCAACTATGCACAAAGGTTCCAACTTCTCCACATCCTTGCCAACATTTGTTGTTTTCTGTTTTAAAATAGTAGCCATCCTAATGGGTGTGAGGTGGTATCTCACTGTAGTTTTTATTTTCCTAATAGTGATGCTGAGTACCCTATCACATACTTATTGGTCATTTACAGATCTTTGGAGAAATATCCATTCAAGTCCTTTGCCCATTTTTGAATTGGGTTGTTTTTGCTTTTTTGTTGTTGTTGAGTTTTAGGGGTTCTTTATACATTTATATGCTCTGGATATCAATCCCTTATTGGATGTATGATATGCAAATATTTTCTCCCATTCTGTGAGTTACCTTGTTAGTCTGTTGACAGTATCTTTCAATGCACCAAATTTTTCAAAGCACTTTTAAGTGACTCTTCCAGAGCCACATATAAATTTGGACTGGGCATAATGATGAGATTTGGGGTCACCCTAAACATTTACTCAGTAAACTATAGTTACTAAATTACGCTCTCTGTGATTGTAATTTTAAAATCAGTTGAATTCCCTTTCTTCCAAATTTGCCTCAACTCAGTCCATTGCTTCTGTGTGGCAGAGGCCTAAGTAAAAGTCCCACATCATTAACAGTGTGAGCAATGAGATGAGTGACTCAGAAGGAAACTGGCTTCTCCTGTTGCCTTGCAAATCTCTGGGGTGCCTGAAGATGGCGGTATAGCACCGTGTGTGCCACCTCCTTCACAGAACAGCTGCCAGCTGCCAGCAAGAAGCCAAGGACTCTCTTCTAAAGGAACACGTGGGGTTTACAGAGAGAGCTTAAAAACATCCCAAAAAAAGTCTTGGGAGGGTCATGGAAGAGATAGAGAAAGACAATCTTTCTAATTTCACATGCTCCAGCTGCCTCCAGGGAACAAAACACTGACAGCAGCCCATAGCTCCCACTGCCAGTGGGGACTCAGATCTCTCCATCTTCCTGCATGGAGCTCCCCTATGCAAGGCCTGCACCTTTGACAGTGGCATTTAGAGAAGGGTTTATATTTGGAGAGTTAGCAGCCTGACTCTATGTGGAGACGAAGGAAATGAAAAGAAAGTGGATTGCTTTTCCATGGACATTTCCAACTCTGTTAAATACTGATCTGGCTTCAGTGGGATCTGCACCTTTGCCTGTTCATCATGTTAGGTGGAATTTGCTTTTAGGTCTTAACCTCAAATACTTCCCTAAAATTACAAAGGCACCTCCACAACGGCCCCTTCCTCTTCAAACTCACTACCAGTGAATTAACAGAGGTATTTCATATATTTAGCCTGGATTACTGAAAAAGCCTTCTATCTGATCCCTCTATTTCTACCCTGAGCCCCCTGTACTGGATCCCCTAAGAGGGATCTTTCTGATCTGCATCTGACCAGGTCTCACCACCACTTAGAATTCGGCATCTCTGTCTTGCCTATAGGATGAGGTTGGAGGTCTTCAGCATGGCCTCCAAGGTATTTATGAAACCTCCCCCTCCCCAATTCTATTCTTCCCCAGTCCTACTTCCTGCCATTCCCCATCTCATACTTTGTATTTTTGAATTAGAAGTTGTTTATTGTAACCAGAATGTACTATGCTGCTCCCACTTTTATAACTACACATTTCTTCTACTACGAATGTTCCTTCCCACTTTGGCCTGTCCAGCAATTTCTTACAAGCGCTCAAAGTTATAGCTTAGACTTAAGCTCCTCCCAGAAGTGTTCTCTCACCCCTACAGGGTCCCATCCCTTTCTTCCTTGAGCTACTTTGTCACCTGGCAATACTTCAATTGTGGAACTTATCTCTTTGTTCTAAAATAATCTATGTGCATAAATCAGATTGTGTTTTATTCCCCTGTAACACCTGCCTGCAGCCCAGCATAATGCCTTGAATATTGCAGGGATTACATCAATTAATATTTTTTTGAGTTGGGATTAAAATACTGACCAATATAATTTTTTTATCCTTTGATGCCAACTGATACAAAGGGTAAAAGAATGAGCAGATGCTACTGGGTCCCCTGACGGAGATGTAAGAGATCCCTACTTTAGAACAGAGAAGAGAAGATTTGCTGCCAATTACCTAGGAAACAGAACATTGGTCTGAGAGTTCAGAAACTTACATTTGATCCCCAGCTCTAGCCCTATATAGTTCTGCAGTCTTAGATAGGTGAAGGTGACGTTACCACCCTGGAACTTAGTTTTCTTAACCATTATATTGAAGGACTGAATTAGCTGACCACATAAGTTTATTCCAGATCTATAGTTTCCTGTGTGTATGTATGTTCTCAATTCCTTAGCAGTGTATATATATAAAAAATACATACTTACTTTTTATCTTCTTGTCTCGGGAACACAACTTTCCCAACTTTGCTCATTTTTGCCATTGCTTCCTGTTAAATGGAAAACAACACAGACAGCTGAGTGGGAAAGCGAAATCCAAAAGGAGGCTTGTCACAGGCAAAACATTCTAATTAGAATTTGCTTTCCTTTAAGATATTTGGTTAGTCCATTTTTTTTCCAACTTATTTTTCTCTGGTAATAAGAATAAAACACAGTGAACATTTGAAGTTGCAACTATGACCACACATCCTGGGCTTACTAAATTATGTATTGAGGCCCCCGGGGCATAAACAACCCAGAAGTCAAAGCCGTTCTGTGACTGCCTCCAGGAGTCAGTGAGAAGAATTATTTCCCCTCCTCGCTGCCTGGAGACAGGGTAGAAGAAGGGGAACAAAACCAGCCAATGAGTACACTGTCTACTTATCTAAGGATAACAATCACCGAATTAAACTCACTTTGTACCTGTACCTGAGGATAAAATATTTAAGACCTTTTCAATTCAGCTTCAGCTCCTTTTTCCAGCAATCTCTGAAGCTGTGAGTACATACTGAGACCTCTGAGCTGAGTCTAAGTGATCTGAGTTCTGGAATGTGACTTCAGGACATTCTTTTCTTTACAATGGGGCACTCAGGGCAGATGATATGTTACAGCATCTTGGTAGATGTGGTATGGTGTGTGCAGCATCAAGATTAACCAGGGATTGTGCTGGCTCCCATGAGCAGAAGGATAAGGTTTCCTTAAGCAATCTCCTAAGGCTGCTAAGGTCACAAGAAAATTAAGGAGAATGCAGTGAACCCAAACTTTGAAGTCCAACAGACCTGGCTAGGGAAGATTACAAGCAACAGCATGACAAAGCTCTACAGAACAGTCTTAGGAATGGCTACTGAATTCCTATTGTTAAGGATGCAGTCATTCTGGGGTCACATGCGTACAGCTTCTTATTCTACACATTTACTAATCACTTATAATGTACCAGACACTCTGCTAGGGATACAGATTTGCATACAACATACTCTTTATCCTGGAGAAATTCACATACTAGTCGGGGAGCAAAAAACAGTAAAAAAGCTGCATACCATACAGAATATGAGAACCCCTGGATATCTTCAAAACCTTTCCAAGTTTCCCTGACTATCTTTGCCGCCTTACTGTAACTGAGTGACTGATTTGCATGCCACTAATTTCCTTCTGCTGCTTTGAATATTTACTGGTGTATGTGTTCATTACCTGCCTTCTCCACTCCTTGCCCCTAACGAGAATGTAAGCTACACAGGGCAAGGACTTGTCTGTTTACCAGTGAATCCTGATACCTGGAATACTCATAAAACATATTGAGTCCCTTTCATGTGCTAAGCATAACACTCAATCTACACGGAATACAGAAAGGAAGATTGCATGGGCCTTTCATCAAAGAGCTCACCATAGAGTGGAAAAGGCATTTACTGTGATCAAAATAGAGTGTGATAAATACTACACCAGAAGTGGATAAACTTCTTCCCGTAGTTATTTGAGGGTTAGGTAACCTGATGATTCTTTCAGCAGCTAGCTTACATGAATTTCCACTCCTGCTAGGTTGCTCTGCAGACTCTTCCACAAGGATGGCATGCTCATTCTGAATTAGTCATCTGGCTTCCTAGGTCTCAATGGATTTGAATGTGCTGATTGGGGGACCAGAGATGCTAAGAGTAGCCAACATACTGACAGCAGAAAGAAATGGCAGCCTAAAGTAGGGAGGAGATTTTTTAAATGATGAAAAATTACTGACAAGGAAACCATGGAGAAAGACAAAGACTAAAAGGGCTGTCTGGAGTCATATTGTGAAGGGCCAAACTGTCAAACACATCTTAGTGAAGCTGCTGCCATTCCACTTAGCAGGGCTATTTTTTTTTAAGACAGAGTTTTGCTCTTGTTGCCCAACCTGGAGTGCAATGGCGTGATCTGGGCTCAATGCAATCTCTACCCAGGTTCAAGCAATTCTCCTACCTCAGCCTCCCAAGTAGCTGGGACTGCAGGTATGCACCACCACACCCAGCTAATTTTTTGTATTTAGTAGAGATGGGGTTTTACAATGTTGATCAGGCTGATCTCAAACTCCTAACCTCAGGTGATCCACTGCCTCAGCCTCCCTAGCAGGGCTATTTTAAGAGCTCTGCTTACCCCAGAACACTTTCCTTCATAGACAAAGTCCTGATTCCCTTAGAACAAGCCCAGGTATTGTTGCGATGGTCTCAGCAATCTTTATCATCAACTGCGTTACTCATTCTTATTTTGTGCTTCTTGTCTCTTCCTTGAGTTCTGCTCTGCTGTGCTTTAGTGAAGACCTTGCCTTCTATCACCAGCTCTGAATCTTGAAACTGTCCTCGGGGAATGCTCCTCCTAGCTGTGCTTTGGCCACAGACTTGAGACAACATTCCAGGATCGCCTTCATGGGTGGGATCCAGGAAACTTCTATTATAGAAGGTACTCCATAAATGTTATTTTCCTTCCCACTACAACAGATGTGCACACAAATGGCAGACATCAGGGAATTCTTCCTTCCTTTCTCCACATTACCTTTGCTTGTTTTAAAAATAAATTGAGAAGCAAACACCAGCAAGAGAGATTTCAATGGTTTAAAAAGAGGTTATGCTGTTTCTCAAAACGTACAGATTTAAATGTTAAACTTAGCTCAGGTATCAGCTCTACTGAGATTTTTTTCTGACTCACCCCACTGCCTGCCTCCCACCTATACTGAGCTATGTGCTCCAACAGCAACTTGTGCTTCCGTCTATCATAGCGTTTATGACATGGCACCATATTTTTTTGTTAACAGATCAGCCTCCCCAACTAGACTGTGAGCTCCTTAAAGCAGGAATTGTTATAATTATTTTCACTGCCAAACTCGGCATCTGGCATATCGTATGCACTCAGGGAATGTCTACGGAATGAATGAACTTAAGGATAATACACATGACAGAATGTTAAAATGGAAGTTTTGGCTGAGATTTAAAGATGACAGATATAAGATACCAAAGTGAACTGGAAACAGACCACCCTGAAGAATGTGCAAGAAGGGTTCCTGAGGACCCATTAATCAACTCTTAAACCTTTCATCCACATGGAAGGTCAGACAGAGATGGATTTTTAGGAAAGAGCTGTTGGTTTATTGTCTATCAAGGCTCCTTCCAGGGTGAAGTATGAAGGGAGCCTCTCCCTTCAGGAGTCAAGAGGACACAGACCACAAGAGAATCTGCTGCATGTCCCTGAGGTTGTAGCACACGGTGGCTTGTGTGTGACTCCTGTCTAGAAGAGACAGGCTGGCTAGCACTGCCAGAGTCTGTCCAGATCCCAAAGGCAAAGGTTTCTCATAGACCCCAAGTGGCCCATGTGTGAGAGAGCTGCCAGGGTTTCTTAGATCCTGTCCAACATGGCCGCCTAATGAGGTGGCAGACTCTCCATAAAGAAGCTTGAGGTTGAGCTGGGTGCAGTCGTTCACATGTTTAATCCCGGTATTTTGGGAGGCCAAGGTGGGTGGATCACTTGAGGCCAGGAGTTCGAGACCAGCCTAGCCAACATGGTGAAAACCCTATCTCTAATAAAAATACAATATTAGCTGAGTATAGTGGTATGCGCCTGTAGTCCCAGCTACTTGGAAGGATGAGGCATAAGAATTGCCCGAACCTGGGAGGCAGAGGTTGCAGTGAGCGCAGATTGCACCCACTGCACTCCAGCACTCCAGCATGGGTGACAAAGCAAGACTCAATCATCTCAAAACAAAACAAAAAACAAACCAAAAAAAAAAAAAAAAAAAGAAAAGAAAAAGGATAAGGATTCCTGAGAAATTAAGAGTAAGCAACCTATGAGAAAAGAGACATGTTAACCAAGACAAGAATATTTCAGGTGAGAGGTTTTCAGAGGCAGAGGGTCTCCCCAAAAATCTATTATGTGCCTTATGAAAATCAGAGCTGGCAGTAAACACCTATGAGGCTAAGAGAGCATGAAGCCCATTATGACAGTACTGATCAGATAAGAACTTTCCTATACCCTTAACTTTTCTTCCCTTCTACTTTCTAACCATCTCAGAGGAACAGGAAAAAAGCTAGTATGTTGGAGAGAAAGTGAATGAAGAAGAAAGAGGAATCTGATTAGGACTACATCTCATTTCTGCCACACCCTAGCTGGAAGAACTGGGAAAAGTCTTACCTTTGCCTTTACATATTCTTTGATACTTGAATGTCTGAATTTTGGCTATGTCTCAAAACTTAAAGGGACCACAAAGTTTATATTATTTAAGTGACTTTATATTTATCTAAAAAAGTGATGGAACCACCAGAATTTTTAACCAGGGCAGGGAAAATCTGGCTCTACTACACAAATGTAAAGGGATAATGAGAATAGAAAATAAAGTTATAATTTTTTATTTCATCCCAAGAGTTGCGTTTCTGCTACATAATTTTTTGTTTGCTTTATACAACTTGATAAAAACAAGTTATATATGCATAATAAAGATTGGATCAATATATATTTAAATGTTAACAGGTTGGATAGCATGGGTGACAGTTTTTTTTCTTGTCAAGTTGCTTATTATGTTTTCTAAATTTTCCACAGTGGCATATGTTAATTTTATATTTGTAGGGAAAACATGTATTATATTTTTAAAGTTATGCTTACAAAGGCAGTCAAAATGACTTGGGCTCACCTTCCCCTCTCCTGGAAGGCAGGGCTCATTTATGAGTCCTTGAAACAATATGGAGAATATCCTGAGAATCAGTGCTGTCATCAGAAATAGCACTGCTGAGTTTTCCAATTTCTCCAAATAATTAACATAAAACTGAAATCTCATGATCCCACTTGGCTGCAGTAAATCTGGAAATTACCACAACATAACAATAAGAATTTATTATGGAAATGCTGACACATGCTAAATATAGTCACCCCCACAATATATTTCTGTTCCAAAGGGTTTATTTGAAGTTGGCCTCCAAATTCATACTTTTTGTCAGCAGGCAGGAGCCGGACAATCTTAATTTGCAGCACGCTACCCTCTTTGTTTGAGAGTCTAGACAGCACA